ATCCAGGGTGTTCAGCATGTGAGTAGCTCTGACTGACAGCGGTGTGTTAAATACTTGTTTCATTACATTGTCGTTTTTACTCTGTAATACGACGGCAGTAACAGTCCGATAGCAAGCCAAGCTTTGTTTCAACTCCATTAGCTAAATTGAATAGTGAATTGTATGAACTAGAATGTGTGTTATGTATTCAAATGACCCTAAAACTTTGCTGTCCTTGAACGCCTGTCCGTCATATTAGTTCTCCTTCTAAAACGTGAACCTGCAGTGTTGAGAATCCATTGTAAGTCGCATGTAGGCTAATCTAATATATATTGAACTGTATTCTAACAGGGAGGCGGCAATGGCCATCACAACCAAATACTGCCAGAAGGAGCTGGAGGAATATGGTGCATGTGTTGTCTCATATCCAGCATCCTGGCAAGAGAAGTGTCTAGACCTGAAGCTGAGGGTGGCACAGTGCACTTCATCACAGTATGTTCATATATCATGCTCTCAGACAAAATGCATTTATGTTCTCTTGGCCATAACAAGATTTGTATTCAAAAATTGATCTAAATGTGTTTCTTCAGCTTCTACTTCAACATTTAAATTGTGTTGTTTTACCATGCTTTTATTTATTTAGATCGATGACAATACATTATAAACACACACATATATATATATATATATATATATATATATATATATATATATATAATTTAGTAACAACATATTCAAAAAAAGTAAGTGAAAACGAAATATTTGACGTTTCTTAGAATCATTTAGGATTAATAATAAAGGAAAATAATAATTTATATTTTTATTTCCCATCAAGCTGCATTTAGTCATGTTTTTTTTTTCCCCCCCCAATTAAATTAAATTTTCCAAAAATGTTTACATTTGTAATTTCCGCTTAATGCTATTAAACACAATGCATCATTTGACGTGACATGTGGCCAAGTATTAGTGCTCTGCATCTATCCCATCCAAAGTGCACACACACCGCAGTGAACACAAATTATAAAATTAATTTTAGATGAACATGCTGTTCTCTTTTTACCATATTTGATTGTTGCAAGATAATTTATTTGTCTTAATTCTATTAAAAAAATTTTTTTAAGTAGCTTCACATGTCACTGGAACCTGAATTATTTTTTAGATCTATATTAATTGCCTTCAGTGCAATGGAAACAATTATCTGTAATATGTTTGTTTTTAGTTATGTGTTTGGGATGCTTGTTATTTAACATGTGAAATCTACAATATGCAGGTTTATGTCATTTATAATGGGGGTTTTCTTCTGTTAGTCCCTTTGAATGTTTTTCTCCTTACCTTGGCGTCACTGTATAATATTAAACCAAAGAATGCAGGCATGTAATATCTCCCCCCTCAGATGTCCACCGGTTCCCTGCGTCCAGGAACAAAAGACTGTAGGGAGGCATTAGATTAGGAGCGCTTTGCCTGCTGGGTAAACGGGAGGGAGGACACGGGTTTTGAACCTTTGACCACTGAGCTAAACAGACCTTTCATTTGGTCCATTTATCAAAAGTGGAACAAAATGTAACTCTTTTACCAGAATCGCATACTTATCAGAGTCCATGAGCCATAAATCACACAGCCGTCAATGTTTGAAATGACGAGTTATATTTGAAAACCAAGAACACCGTACACAAAAAAACACATTAGCTGAAAGTGATCACACTAAAGGAAACCGAAAGACATACCATTCATCTCCCCATCTACAGCTGTCATCACCGCAGTCCTTAAAAAAAAATATTACACCACACTAAATGAAACAGTCCAGTATCACAAAAGGCTTCATGAATATGTGAGCCGTCAGCTGCACACTTGATTTACCAGCAACTCATGTCCAGTGCACTAAAAACTACATTTCAGTTCGTCAGGATTTTGAAGGTTTTCATAAGCAGATGGTATTAATGTAAGCCTGCTGTACATTCTTCAATATAAATAATACATTTCACATATACAGTGTCTCATGCTGCAACATAAATATTCCAATGATACTGTTGCTGGTAAAAATAGCCAACAAGAACATAAGTTAAAAGAAGTGAAGTAAATAACTACACGTATAACAATAGTGCTAATTACAACAATAGTCATGTGACCAACACATTTAGTATATTACAATAAAGCACAATTAGCAAAACGTTGCCAAGTGTACACATCTTGTAACATTTAGGGGGGGATTTTTAATACTTTGTGCTATTTTTCTTGTCAGTACTAAAGAGATAGACGTCATATTTATTATCAACCCTGTAACAGCAATAACCCTGATTATTTCCTCATCATAGTGTCATCTCGGTTTGGAGATTAGAGCACATTCCTACATTTTACCTGATGCCTAACCATCTAAAACCTACAGTCAATGCTGCAATGCAATGCTGCTGCAGAAAAATCCAAGGCCCTTGATAGTTTTCACATATCTAACTTTTTAATTTTTTTCTCAGAGGAAATCTACCCTGTGTCCAAAACCTGAAATTAGAATAAAAAAAATCTCTTTTGTGGTTTTATGAAATATTAAATTACATTATAATTTCCATACTTCCATACGAATCTAGCTTCAATTTAATAGAGCCAGTATGTGTGTTTACTGTAAGTCTGTGAGTTTTGATAGTGTTGACTGAGCCACTGTGGTATGTGTGACTCCTTTGCTCTATGAACCCTGCCAAGACTCCCTCACTAATATTTTCTTTGAGATATCTACTTCAGCTTTGATGTTTCATTATTTTGTTGTCTTATTTTCTTTTTAATATTTTGTCTCGTGAATTGTGTAATGCACAGTTAAGGCGGCTTAAAGAGAAGACACTAAACACTAAGACCCTGTCTGAGAAACTGACAATAGTTAAAAACCTACCAAATTAAATTTATTCAAAGAAAATACTGCACTAGCTGTCAACATTTTTAATTTGTGAAAAGAAAAATGAAAGCTTAATTTGTGTTAAAGATGCACTCGGGATATTTTTCTCCCTAATTTAAAGAGATTTACGCATAAAAAAAAACAATAGTACTTTTGAAAAATATAATGTACTAATATACATTAACATGAAATGAAGACTCATAAAAGCTATTTTACAATTACAATTTTTCATTTTAGTTAAAGTTTTAGTAATTTAGTTGTGCGTTTTTGCCATTTTTTAAAATTAGTTTTTGTCTATATACTAACTTTAATTTGTCTTAGTTATTTTAGTACATCAAGTTAAAGCTGCAGTCCGTAAGTTTTGCCTCTTTGTCGCCATCTCTGTTTGAAAACCTGCAATTGCAGCTATTTGCGGAATTATCTTCCTTGCGTGGGTTGTGCATCGGCACGGCTCTAGCCCGGATGAATCTAATGTTCTGAAGAGTATGTGTGGCTGTCAGTCACCGCACCGGTGTGGATATTTACTATACTTCGCAATCACAGATTCTAGCCTACGTCTTGTAATATATGACCCAAATAAGAATTTTCACCGTATATTGCCATCTGAACAAGTAACAAGTCTGCCACGTTTGTTCTGACCAACTGAGGAAAAAAGCATTACCATAAATATCGCTACCAATGGTGATTAAATCTAAAGATTAGTAAGCTCATATCACATCAAACCGTTCAAATTATTATTGTTATACTTTATTCTCAAATGATTAATGTTAACAACATCAGCATTGGTGACTATGAGTATAGTGTGTATTAGCGTGTAGATTTCAATTTCTGCACAGTCTAATAGTCATACTCTTCGAATTTCATATTAAGAAATTCTTTTAACCCAAAAAGCAAATTATGCTCCCTTCGAACTGGTTTTCTTTCAAATACAAATCTTTGTAATCCCAGGCTATCTGTAATCAGAAGCACATTTATAACTGGAATTTAATTTCATTTCATTCACATGTGTTTCATAAACACATAATCCTTTATGGATTACAATCCGCCATCAAAATGATACATTTAATTATTCCAGCCTCTGTGAGAAAAGGTTATAAACGATCTGCCACCTGCAGGATCTTCACATGCGA